CAATACTTTGTTGAATACTCATTGCTTCATTATACTTTTCTTAATCAATAAGAACATTGCTAATATAATCACTGATCAATATACTTGACTCTTATGGTGATTCACTAATAATTTATTCAATTATCTTCAAGAAAATTTTACATAATACCTAACAAGAAAAGTTCACTCTACATTCAACAATAAAATCATCTATGATACAAATATTTCTTTATAGAACATATCGAACATTAGATAGTTTTTAGATATTTATCAAGCACTCAGCGAAGATCAAATCATTCTAAGAGTGTAGCAAATATTGTATCGATTCTTTGAGATCAGATTTACTGTTATCTTTCAAAATATGTTCAATAGGTTTACATAGATCTTTTGATTATGATAGAATGAAAAATGCTTGTATCCATTCAAATGACCAAATTAGATCATTCGAAATAAAATACGAAAAATTCCTATCTAATGGGAAATATCAACGATATATGCATAATAATAAACACGTTTACAAAGACAACGATCATTGCACACATAGAGAGAAAGAGATTCAGATAATTCTTTGTTTACCGTCATTTTCAATCTTGTATTGTAATGAGCCAAAATACCCATATGATTTTCATTAAGATGAGAGTTGGTAATTGAACTAAGGTGATTATCAAATTCGCATTGGAAAAAAAGTCATCTATACGATCTATTTGAAGAAGATATAAAAGTTTATGAGATGCTGAATCGGTTTTGTAAACAAAAATATCAAGAGTCTGCTGATGTACAAAGAGATACATTCAACAAAACACTCGACAAAATCCTTCAAATGGTTCAAACACTAGAGGACACCAAAGTTCTTGTCGATTCGCTCAGGAATCTCATTCAATGAATTGAATGAGCTCTTGAAAATCCTCAATTCATTCTTCATCGGTTGATGATCGAAGTTGTTTTCATGTCGTTGACAACTCTTTTACTTCTTGCCGTTGATAGATCAGAATTTCCATTGTCATCATCTCTTTTCGAAGAGCACCATCCATCAATTCAGATCAAACAAGACCTTGTTGACTTCGTCTACTATTGTCACTGTGCCATTCTTCTCTTTGACTTCTCTCTTGATTGTTCTATGGTAGTAGACAAATAGTTTTATCAAAATTTCTTTTGAATTATATTCCATTGGTTTGACTTTTAAAATCACTGGATGAATATGATCGAGATAAAGTCGATCAATTTTGAAATCACTGGAGATTATCATCTGAATATAAGAGACACACCCACACCCTCTATTTTCATCTTAATCGGTGTTTATGTTTCTCAATTTGAATTATTTCTTCATAGAACGATCCCTATCAATCAAAATTCTATTATTATTTATTGGTCACAACCATTTCATCTTGTTTTTTATTGAATTTAGCGAGAAGAATTATTATTTAACTATTTTTTCACACAATACGCAATTGATCAATGACATTTATGAAGACAATGCAACCATCGGATTGGCGACAAGACATAAGCGAGGTGTTGGATGAGACCATTACTCAAGAGTATCTTTGTCGTATGAAATATTATCATATCCCATGTCAAAATCATTCATCAATTCCACTGTGTTTTTATGATGATTGACATGTTTGTTTGTGTCAAAAGTATGGACAAGATATCAAATCAATTGTTTGAAGTTCAATCATCAGATGAAATTCGTTATTCTCGTCAAAGTAATTGTGAAAATGGAACTAAATGTTTTCAAGACACTTTGACTTATCTTCAAATATCAATGTGCACAAGTTCGACATGCTTTTTATGGAACACGATGTCAATCTAGTACAGAATGGAGTCAGTTTTTCACTTATTTCTATTAAAGGCTATCATATTCAGCCACATGCCTATCTTTTGAATCAATCAATAGCAATAAAAGTGAGCATGACATTATCAATCGTGTTGATTTTAGCAAGACTTATGAATGAGATTTTTTCTTTGATAATGCTTCAAAATACGAAATTACGCAAAATTGGTTGTGCCTATTTACTATTGAGTTCATCTATGATTAGTGTCTTGACAATAATAATGTTTGTCATTCAACTTTGGATTCTTGCCTTATTGCAAATAGTATTCATTATGAATCGATTGTTTTTATCTTTCTAATGAATTCCGAGTTGTAAAATATCAATCGAAAATGGTGGGTGAATCATTTTTGTATTTTCTTTTCTATTCGACTGATATCCAAAGAATAAGGCAGGATAATAATTAGGTATTCAAATGCCATACTAACCACACTGATTAACAATAATATACAAGATAGAAAAGTGAGATACTGATGTTAGCACGACAGACAAACAAAGTATCATCACTGTCATATAGTAATCTAATTGTAATTTTAATTCAGTATGATTTTTAAAAACTGAAAAACGGTATAAAAAAAGCTGGACTAGGCAATGAGACGAAAATGTAGCTATTAAATCACCGCAAACAGAAATTTTTCTACGATTTGTGTAAGTAGAAGGGCAAGAAAGGTGGCTGTAAATGGAGAAAAAAATAGGCGTTTTGGTGTTCGAAGAATGCATACCGCACTCTGACAGAGAATAGTTTTCTGGCTAAGGAATTGCAGGTTGGTTCAGATCTCAGAATATCATTGTAGTTCTACTTGTTTATCCATATTAGAAATGAAATTATTTAGAATTTCTTTTTCACAAGTAAACCATTCATAGAAAGTGAATGCTTAACATATCAGAAATTTCGGAGAAATCTTGTCGATTCATCTATAGTGTTTTGTGTAGAATTTCACGGCAAATAATTTCAGAAAAAGTTCAAGTCTAACTGATGGAAATTGATCAAGATATCGTCGAAATACTGAGAGTGCCATCTTTATAGAACATCCATTATATGTTGTAAATTCTAAAATAGATGCAAGAGATGTAGATTACTGCGAAATAACTATTTGCTTACTAATTGTAGAGTGAAAAACTTGGAAATTTCAAACAGAAAACGAAAATAGTGGCATTTTGGCATTCCTTGGTCGAGACGTTTATATGAAAACCAACGAGAAAGTAAATAATGTTAAAATTTATTTTTTTCAATTTAAAGTCATCCAAAAAAAAAAAAAGATAGTTCATGATTAATATAGATAGGTTAATAAACTCATAATAAATAATTTAACGTTCTCATCTGATTCTCGATGACAAACATTGTCTAACACGTATGACAACATTTCTTATATTTGCTGCGATAACCATTCGAAAATGCCACGCATGAAGTGCAAGTGCGATGACGCTCATAGCCAAAAATGTGAGAAAAAGTCCACCCATAATGTTGAGAGGAATTTCTCCATCTTCTATTGTCTCAAAATCATTATTGACATTAGAAGACAAAAGTGCTGTTCGACATTCTTGAAAATGAAACCATTTGTTTTCTAATTTGTCAAATGCACCTGATTCACGAAAAGACAAAAGGCTCATATCAAAATCCTGTTTATATTCCCAATTTTTTCTCATAGCGATGCCAAAAGAAGACTTGGCGAAGCCGATACCAACAACAATTAATTGTCCACAATAATCCCGATTAATAGCATATTCGAGTATTGTCGAATCTGTAATGGCAGCATCAATAGTGCGATCAAGCAAGCGTGTAAAAATGTCTTTACTGGTAGCAAGCGGATAATATAACGTTGAAACATTCTGCAAATAGTAATCATCAGCTGCTGAATTACTGACAATCCCAATACGTGAAAATGGGAGACGACCATTTTTGATATCATCAATGCCGGAAATCATTGGTAAAGATCGTTGTAAGGTGAGAAATGATGACAGATTGGCTGTATAAGTAGCAATGAGAATAACACTAAGTGCATACAGACCAATAGTCACCATTCGGCTAGACATTGTTGTCAACGGAAGATCACCGCTCATACTTACGACACTACTCAATGCGTGACTTACACCAATAGCTATCGTGCGTGGTTCACTACCTTTTTCGTTTGTAGACATTGCCGGTCGTTCGAATATATAAATGAGCACACCCGAATAGATAACCAATAGGAGAATAATCAACCAAACATTGAGCGAAAATGGACTTAAAAATGAAAATAATTTGAAATTGAACAGATTTGGATTGTCACGAACGATCACTCGAAGAGCATTCTCGTGGATTGCTATTGAAAAATCTACTTTTACTAGACGATTCGAAGTAATTGTGACGTCCGATATAATTACATCCCATTGAGTGTAATTATCAGCCAATAACGCTACTAGAGTATGATAGGAAATATCTGGTGAAGCGATATCAATAGTAAACTTAAAATTCATGCACTGTTTTAGTTCACGGATTAAATCTACCGCAAATCCACTAATGCGAATATTGGGATCTTTAGTTTCTAAATAATCATATGGTTGAGCGTATAACATACGTTTTTTTGTTGTGTTTGTTGTATGTTGCAGAGATGACATATTTCGTATTATCACAAATGGGGGTGATTCAATGACGAGAATACGTAATAGTTCACCTACAATATCGTTTAATATGAATAATTTACTTGAAAAAAAAAGTCTATTTGGAAAAATATTTTCTTTCGTACCCATCGTCTCCCTAATCAAACTCATCAATTGAATATGCAATCGAGGTTCAAGACTTTCCTCAACATTTCATTTACCTTTAATTTGTGGATGATCTGGATATTTGTCTACCGATCTATTGGGCCACACAATGGGAATAGGTATTAAATCGGTCAGATTATGCCACTGAGAAATGGCCTCATTCCATTTCAATACAGATTTGTACTCAAGCATTTCATTCAAATTAATGATGTTGCTTGGTTTCAAGTATAAATTTTTGAGTACAAAGTAACCACCACCAACACGATCATTCGAAATATTTCCAGAAAATTGAACATCACCTGACACACCCAAAAAATGCGTCTCTTTTAGGTATTTAAAGTATTCAGTTTTGTTCTCCAATCTACTATGGAAACAGTATGATGATGAATGAAAATAAGGAGGATCAACGAATGATGATTTATTGAGAGCTTCAATTAGTGCCCATGTCGCATCGAATACAAACAAAGCAAATGGATTGATTTGCTGCATATTCTTCGGTAGTGTGCTTTGATCCAATGACGAATTACTCCAAGCATCATACGCCTCGGATAATAGCAGGTTATTAGCCTCCGTTGGATATCTGTTCATAGGTATCACCGCAAGAAGACCTTCAAGCAATTGCCATTCACTCCGATTTTGAAATTTATTCAGATCAACCTATAAATCAATTTATAATTCATATCAGATTCAACATTTCTGTGAAAAACAAGATGTCTTCCTTTACCAGCATGAAAATTGTCTATTACCTTATCTGTCATCACCCAAACGTATGATCGACCGATCAGCCCTGCAATCAATCCATGTTGTACAATTCTAGTCGTGGTACTTTGATTTGCCCAGACAAGTACAATTCTTGATCGACTATTGTACAATGTATTTTTCAAATCAGCATGAAATCGATCCGATCGCGGATCGAATGTCAATCGTTCCTTGATGGTCAATTGATCGCCATAGGTTTCTGACAAAATCTTTACACCACTATATCCATAATCATCTTTTTGACAGATAATTATACACGTTTTCCATGAGAATAGATTGAAAAGTTGCACAATTGCTTTGGCGAGAAGTTCATCGGATGGAACGGTCCGATAGAACGTCGGAAAAAGTCGAATATCGGATAGTTCGACAGCTGTAGCAGAATAAGAGACCATCGGTAAGCCAATATGAGCGGTGAAAGGAGCAAGAAGACGAGTTTCCGTGGAAGTGCACGGTCCAATAATGCCGGCAATGTCTGATTTAGTTTCATTACCAGTTAACTGACATAAAAGATTCAGCTGATTCAAACCATGACCATCATCATTGGTTTCTAGAATTGTGTGTAAAATAGGAGAATCACGGACTCGAACACCACGTTTATCAGCTATGGTTATAGCTGCACGAAACATGGGGACACAATCTTGACACCAGTTTGTACGTTCTGGTTTTTGTAATAGTTTATAATGTTCATGATGATCATCACTTGGAAAAATACCGACAATTTGTATACGAGCCAAAGAAACAATAGGCAGTAGAAAATAAATCAATATGAGAAACAACATGAGCTGTAAATATTTCAATTGTAGACTAAACTTGTCATTCAATAATATCCTTTATTTATAGATATATCAATAAAATTCTCTCATTTATTGCCACAAGAGATATTTGTGTACGTGATAACATGAAAATCATGATTTATGTCATAGATAAAAGTTTTATTGGAAAAAATATTCTCACCATTCAATAATCACTTGTTTTTTTTTAGGTTTCTGTCAAAAATTAAGCGGAAACAGAGCGAAAAAGAGAGAGAGAGAGAGAGAGAGAGAGAGAGAGAGAGAGAGAAAGCAAAGTTGAAGTTGACCTCATCATGTTTTTCTAATGATTGAATATATACTTTGTCTATTACCAATGTTTGAGATATTCTCGAATCTTTATATTCAAATATAAATTAAAGCAGAGAAAAGATCGACTTCAATTAATAAAGGACAAATAGAAACATAAAATTATGCGAAAAATAATCACTCTGAAATGAGAAATTAATAATATATTATCAAAATAAACAAAAAAATTGATCGATTTCGAGAAAAGAATCTTTTCTTTTTATTTTATTTCAACATTCAGATGAAAATAAAATTAAAAAAAAAGATGCTTTGAACTTTCTCATGGTAAATGCGACACAAGAAAGAAGATCTTGTTTGGAATTAATATGCTTTATGTCTATTATTTTTTTCTTTCTTTTTTCTGTATGATAATTGCATAAGAACGTCTTTTTCTTCAGGATTTCAAACGAACAAATTACCATTGCCATCTTATTTACTATATGAAAGAAGAAAAAAAAAAGAAAATGATGAGTGCATTTTGACACGACTTACTTTGATTTGTATTTTCTATCTGCTCACATTGTATCTCGCATCATTCGTGTCACAGAAATGAGAAGAATTATCCAAACAAGAATGGTTTCTTTGTCTCTCGAAAATAAACAAAAGACCAATTATCTCTGTAGGATTTTTCTCGATCGTTTCTGATTTAAATGAAATAATATAGATCTTGTTGTCATGCAAAAAGTTTAAATAAGACAAAAGGATAAAATTCAATCATGCAATAAATTAATATTCAATGATCAGATTAATCTTTTCTCTTAAATCGTTTGATTATAATACAGTACTGGCCAAAATTATAGAACCAGCTATTTTGAGTACAATTGTTTGCCATGTTTCGAGGAATTTAGGCTCTTGGGAAAAGACTTATTAATTTGATAATGTGCTTTCGAGTGTGTTTTACTCAAATATGTACTTAGGTGTCCACAATCTTACTATCAAGTTTGAGAAAATAAATGCTTATTAAAAACTATCGGCTTTTGTCTGGCTAAAACTAAAGAACCACTTTTGAGTTTTTGTTATTTCCAAATCAGAGTGAAGTTAACTATGTTTGCAAGCGACATAGAAAGATAGAGAACTACTATTCGAGCTTATTCATGTCAAATAATTGGAAGAATTATCTATATTTGAATTTGAAATGAAATTTTATTGATCAAGTCAAAATGGCTTGCAAATATTGTCTAAGCTCAATATGCTGACTACAATACTTGAATAGAGATAGCACCGATCTTTTAAGAGCGGATTTAATTTAAAAATATGTATTCCTTGAAAATGAGACGTTTGAGAGCTCTGTGGATCCTTCTATTTCAAGGATACATACGGTAGCAATAGTAACAATGTGAGAACTGAAAAATTGTAAAATGCTGGTATGTTTTTTCTTTGTCCAAATCAGTAACACTCCGACAAGTAATTTGTTGAATATAAATGCGTTTGAAAGTCATGACCGAAATTCATGTAAAAAAGTTCTGAAACAGGCTGGCATACATTCGCTCTCATCGTGACATAGATAATGCGTTCAAACGCAGTTTGTGTGCTTTCTAGAAAAACATGAGCATTTTTTGCTACCGTCTGTATCTCTGAAGTAGAATGATGACAAGAGCTCTCAAACATCTCATTTTCAAAGAATAAATATTATTTAATTAAATTCGCCGTCAAAAAAACAGTGCTACCTCTATTTCAAGTCTCGTAGTCAACAAGAAAAACTGACAAAATTGCCACCTAAAAGAACCATAGAGATTTTTGTACGATAGGGGCTTTCCAGACTAAGGTTGTTACACATGACTTATCAGAGTTTTGATTTTTACGGCACTTGATAGAGAGCACTTCAATACATCTTTAGACATGAAAACATCGAAATCCAAAAAAAAAACTTTTTGGGTCAGCAAAGAGATTCCCTTAATACTATTGAGTTTAGTCGAAAATATAACATTATTTTTATGAAGACTATTGAACGGTGATTTGACTCAATTTCAGGACAACATTCCAGTATGTTCAGTTGTTAGATTATTTTAAAAAAAGATTTTTTTTTTTTTTGAAACATTCTCACTGTCATATTTATTATTATTATTATCATTTTTCAACGATAATTAAACAAAAATATATAGATGTTAATAAATACAAAATTACAAATCTTGTAACATAGCCATACGTTTTGAAGCTGTACCCGAACTTGCTTTTTGTATAGTTGAATATTTATTATCTCCAACAGCTAAATTTTCTTCATAAGCTTTATCTAAAAATGTTTGTCGTTGTTCTATTTTCTTTGATTGAATAACATTTTTTAAATCTTGTAATTGTAATGCTAATTGTGCTTGTTTAGATTGTTTTTCAATTAGCAAGGCTCTAAAAAAAAAAACCAAAAAATAACAAATTAAAATTTTTCTCTTGTTCAAACAAACCGTTCATCACTTTGATTTGATTCTTGATTTCTAAGAATTGGTCGATACTATAGAAAACACAAAAACAATTTGAATTAATTTTTCTTTTTATCGAAAAAACAAAAACAATATAATTTTACTGGTGGTGGAGATAATGCTCTTGGTGATGATGATGATTGAACAAGATTTTGTTGAGCTTGTGCTGCAGCATTTGTAACAGCAATTGATTGATTAAGTTGTGTTATTGAAAGTAATTTTTCTCTTGCAGCTGCTTCAGCTACACGCCATTTTGCAACTTCTATTTTTAATTCTTCTGCTTCTTTACGACTATAAATAAATAAAAACAAAAAAATTATTATATTTAAGTTTTTTTAGTTTTTATTTATGTTAGTTCCCATGTCCGGGTTTTTTTTATTATTTTGTTAACTAACTGACCGTTGTTCAATAGTTGATGAAAGAAGAGAAATTTCGCCACAACGACATGAATAATAAGCAGTATTGCTGATTTTTTTATTTTTATTTTTATTTAGATAATTTCAAAAAAATAAAATCTTACCTTTTTACTGAATCATTTACTAATGTAGAAATAATTTGTTCACATTCACTAATTTGTCGAGCATAAAGTCGTTTTTCTTCTTCGTTCTATAAACAAAAAAAGTAAAAAGAATTATGTAGTTTTTTTTTGTTTGTATAGATGTTTAAAAAAAGAAGATATCAAAAAGACTTACTCGACTGATTTCATATTTACATCGTTCAAGTTGTGTTTCAATTTCTAGTGCTTTTTCAGCTTGTAATCGAGCTTCTTCACTACTTATATGTGCTTTACGTGCTAATAATTCAGCAGCTTCTTGATATTTAAGCTAACAAAAAAAAAAAAAAAACTAAAAGTATTATTCAACGAGAAAATAATAAATTTCTGATTAACAAACCAATGTATCATGAATATCTTTCATTTGTTGTTGATATTCATCAAATTTACGTCCAATTTCATCACGTTCTTTTTCAGCTTGTAAACGTAATTGACGTTCTCGAGCAAATGTACGATGCTTTTCCTAAATCAATGTATATGTGTGAATGTAAATATACTGGTCAATGTGGTAATTTTTCGAGAAATTCGTTTATTAAAAATGAGTGTTCTATTTCATTGAGTATATTCATCCTTTAAGGGTACTCTCACGTCAGTCTTTCCGCGGATGTTAAAATCAAAATCTTTTTTTTTTGATTTTTTATCGTTAATACAGCTTCGAAGTATTGTCTGTCGAATGCCATATAAATAAGAGCTCTTTGTTGTTAGTTACTGCTTTTATTAAAACCAACTCTCGAAATTCCTTAAAGTAGACAAAAAAAAACTTCAGAATCACTCCTGTTTCTCCGACATAGTATGTTCGATCGAGCTGAAACTTCTTTTTGCAAGTACTGTTTGGCGTGCCTACTTTTTTTTTCGTTTTGAAAAAGATTATATCATTGATTTTTGACGAATTTCACAAAAGAAAAGCTCTAGTAAAAAAAGACATGTATTTTTGAAAGTATGCTCAGTAATTTAATCATTTTATTCGAATGTAAGGAGATGAAAAGAAACTAAAAAAAAAGTAGGCACCCAAAACAGTGTCTAATACCTGTTAAAAAGATTCCAGCTCTATCGAAAGTATTGCGACCGAGAAAGTGAGGTGATTTTTAGCCGTTGTGACCCAGATATTTTCTTGAAGCAAGTATTTGGGAATTTGAAGTTTATGACAATTTTTACTCTACTCATCGAGATCTTCCTATCCAGAAAATTTCAAATATTTTTGATGAGCTATTCTTGAGAAACTCTGCCCGTAAAGGAGTCACTTTAAGGTCCGTTCTCGTTTCCTGTCAAAAACCTATTTTTACCTCAGAATAATCGATCTGGCTGAAAATTTCAAGGAATGTGTGTTCGGTTCTAAACGGTTTACAATAAAAATTTCAGTCCAAAATATTACGCTATTCATGAGTTATAACAACATCAAGAATCGAAAAGTAAGTTTTCATGTGACACGAATTTCTCCTTCAAATCTAATGATACAAATTGATTTAAAAATGCAACCGTCAAAATCGAGTTTTTTTGACGAAAATCATGTTTTCTGATGGGGATGGGCATAAGGGAACGTTCTATTGCGAAAAGAAGCGGTTTTGTGTAAACAACTATTTCTCGCTCGAATGTAAGACTTCTGTCGATTAGTTTTATGGATGAGTAATCCTTTAGAATGTTATTGACTTCAATGGGTGTAGATTTAATGCTCTCTTCCATTAAGATATTATTTTTCAAGGGCAGCACAGCAAATACAACAGAAAAATCGTAAGATCGAAATTAAACGTAGAGAACTTTAAAAAAGAAAAGAATCTATTGTCAAAATACACAAAGAATATTATTCAAGAATAATGAAGTTAATTGAAAGTAATCAGAGATGTAACTGCTTCCCAACCAAGAAAACTTTTTGTTTTTTGCAGTGAAGCCAAAAATGTAGAAAACGAATCTTTACATCCTCCCAATGTTGGCTGCTTCTCGGTCGAGCTCTGAAAGTAATATCTCAATGGACTGTCACTGTTCGTAACCAATAAAAAAAAACAATAATCTCTGATTTTTCTCGTTCTTTGTCTGTCGTTTGTTCATAATACAATCTCTCATGTGATAACAGTCACTGTACAGCATTCGAAGTCCGTTCGATACTATCGTAGGACAAGTTAAAACTAGAAAATCTTCCATTTTTTCTTATATACTAGAAATCCAACCATTTATAATAGTTCTTAGAAATTATGCAAGTAGCATAGCATCATAAGAATTTGTTGAAAAACGAACAAATATCTCTCAGGTATTCTTATGAAATTTCATCGGATCGATGTTGGTTATTAATCTGGAACTGATCGAACACTTTTACGTCTATTCTATAGATATGTAAATATAAAAAGTAAAGATTCAATGCTTTTTTTTCTTTTTTGTTTTCTAAATAAATCGATGCATTTATTTAAGATATCACAGTATTTTGTTTTACAATCAATTCAACCGACGAGGTCGATATGCACTTTAAAAGACAATGTAATAGACTAAGAGAAAGAAAAATATTCAAATAAATAAAAACAACTTGAAATGTTTCCTTTCGGTTTTTGTTTTTTACTAAAAATTGATACTAACATGCTAGTAAACTTCAAATAATTATAATAACTTCAAAAGTGTGATATGGCTCCTACAATGAACTTTAAACAAGAAACTACATTAGGAATCAATTTTTATTCTAAAGAGGCTTTGTCCATTATCAAAAATATTATAATAACAAGAACAAATCCTTGATGAATGTTTGTTTTTTCTTTCTTACTTTTTGTTGTTGTTCTTCAAAATATCTCATTTGTTGTATTTCAATTGATTGTTCACGTCGACGTTTCATATATAATTCATGATTACCAGTTGCTAAATCAAGTATCTAAATTAATAAAATATTCAAATTTAAAAGACAAAACAAAATATAAATATTTTTGTTTTTTTATCTACCTCTTTGCTTACAGATGATTTACCAGAATAAAATGCAAATGTTGCATTTTTATCACCGGTCATATTTAATATAACCTTTGAAAATAATAAAAAATAATAAAAAAAAAAACGAAAATTATCATTCTTTGAATACTTTTTTATCATGAGCTGTAACTGATTTAATATCAGACCATGAAAAGAAAACTTCTGGTCTTAATTTATTTTTTTTATAAAAACGAATTCCTAATGAATCAATTCCAAGCCAAAGTTCAGTAGCAATAGATGATTGATCGGATTGTTGTTGTTGTGATGATAAATTTGATTTATTTCCACCTTGCATTTTTGATATTTCAAAAAATGATAAACCAAACATATCTAAATCTTGTGCATGTTTTAAATAAGCCATTTCAGATTCTTCTCGTGCTAATGATGCATGTGTACGCCACAAAGCTATTATACGATCAAACCAATCCGAACGAGATAATTCAACTTTTTGAAAACAAGATAATGGTAATAAAGCTTCACTTTCTAAATTTAATGATTCCGATGATGAAGTTATTTGATCATAATCACCAAACTAAAGAAATAAAACGTTTTTTTTTGTGTATTATTGTATAATTTTATTGAATAGAAATATTAATTACTTTTGCTTGAAGAGCAAGTGATGCAAGATGAGCAGCTGTATCGGGTGGACAATAAATATCCATATTAAGAATATCTTGTTTAACTTGAAGATAAAAAAGATGTCGAGTTATATCTTGTATAAGTTCATTAGTAATTTCTTCGGGATAAAATTTCACAACAAAATATAATTCTAATATATTTATAGATTGTTGACCACCACTAGCTGATGATGATGATAATGGCAAACTTAATGTTGATGTAGATGGTGATGTTGGTGGAGAACGAAGAAGATGAGGTTTTAAATTGTCTGTTGAATTTGGTGATTCAGGTCTTTTAGATGAAATTATACTCGATTGAATTTGTATTGGTTGAGAAAGTATCTAAAAGATTAATGATTGTATATCATATAGAAGAAATAAAAATTAAATACTGTTCTATTCATTTGTAACCATGTCCATTCATTAGAAATTTTATCAAGAAATTTTAGACCAAAATACCAATGTTCTCTTAGACCAATTGTTTGACAAACAAGAGAAAATAATGTATGTCCTTTTACTGTGCCCTAAAAAAAACGCATATTTTTATTATCAAACATAATATCAATCAATATTATTGCTCACCTCAATAGTAAACTGTAATTCAGCATCCATAGTGAATACTTTACAACAATATTCATCAGTTTTTTTCTTACTACTACTAAAGACAGGCATTTTTAAATAGAAGGCACTGCTATGTCTACTCTTATATCTAAAAGAAGAATAACAAAATCAATTGGCAACCATATTTATTGCAGTTTTTCTTGTTAATATTTGTTTTTTTCTATCTTTTAAGCTGATATTACCTGAATAATAATTAATGATTTGATTTAGTTATATATTTAGAACACCCTTTAGCTACAGTTTCTTATATATTTATGAATGTATATATATATATATATATATATATCCCGCTCTTATTTTTTTCTCATTGCCGAAAAACAGCAATGACAAGGGCGCGTGTTTGACATTATCGACAAGAAATACATAAAAGAGGAACAGAACCAATCGTTCTTTTTTTCTTCTTATTTTTTTTCCTGCTACGCAAGAAACCACATGCCATGCATACCTTTGTTCCCCTTATTTCTTTTGCTTTCTCTTTATTTTCTTATGTCTGTCATAGTTAAGTATAGACTTGTCGTAAATTAATATTGATGCGTTTGTCATGAATATAACTCCAACAAACTTTATCATTATCGTCATCAATATTCTTATATAAAATATCATTTAAAAATGGATCCGAAAGTATGCGAGGAATTGCATGAAAACAAAGACGACTTGTTCCTGTCATAATAATAATATCACCAGAATGAAGAAGCATTGGTGATGGTTGACATTCAGTTTTTGTTTGACCACCAATAAGAAATATAGCTGAATTACCAAATGATATTGATAGAAGAGGTTTTGTTAATGCATCATATTCTGAATGATCTGTATGTGCACATAATGTTGAATTTAAATGATAATAATTAATAATAACAGCTTCAGGATATATCATTGGACAATCTAAATAAATGATTCATCTTGACTCTATTATAAATAAAATATATATTTTATTGTACTTGTATTCGAAGAAATAACTTGTGCAATTGTTTGAGATAATTGTACAAGTTCATCTGGTATGTTTGTATGATCATCTTGTTTATAAATTTTATTTGTCCAATCATAATGATAACCAAGTGTAGCCCAACGTATACGAGTTAAATTTTGATTATCACTATTATCACCTACACTTGTTCGAGTTTGTCGAGCATAATTATTCAAACATCGATTAATCCATTGACGTTGTCCATTTAATGTAAATGGATTTGAAAGAAAATAGAGACCATTTGAAAATTTACATGAATAAAGAGACCATGTTGATATAGGTTGTAAACCTAATGATGAATCAACATCGATTGAAATATTTAATGGACATTGTTGAAAAAGTGTTGGATGAGTTGTTATTGAATATGCTTGAATTAAACAATCTTTATCAGAAAGATGACGAAAATGTTTAAATACAGGTGTAAAAAGATCAAGATTTTCGGATGATGCACTCATAATGGTTTTATTGTAAATTTCTTCTTCTTCTTCTTCTTTTCGTTTCTATACTGTTATTGTAAGCATGATTAATCATGATATGTATGATTAGTTCAGTAGATTGAACGAATTAGAGTTGGATAGATTATGGATAAATGTTATATTAGAAAAAAAAATGTAAATCAATGGAGAAAATTATTATCAAGGAAAAAATTTCGAAAAATTGAATTATTTATATCAAGACAAGTCTGCCCTCTATTGATATTACGAGCATAAACAAGCGTTACGGAATTTCCTTCTACTTTTTTTTTTTTTACATCGTAATATCTATTTCTTGTCACTAGCAAAAGTAAATTCTTCGAAAGTTGTTCAGTTTTTAACAAGCATAATTGTATCGAATAATAAACTAAAAATAGTTTTCGTTACGGAATTTCATTCTTTTACAAAAAAAAAAAAATCGCTTTTGTAAATCAGGATGAAAGAAAAAAAACGTTAAAATTAATCACAAATTCGTTACCAGCATCGAATTCTGCAGCAAATGTTAGAATTCAACGAACAAAATATTTCAACTTTTTTCTACCTAAGAAAAATAAAAGTTGAAATTTTGATTAATTAAATATTTCATTTTTGTTCAGAATTCGATGCTAATTGCCAAATATGTGCACATTTATGAACAAAAAAAAACCAGTGCAAAACATTTAAAATGATCTAAAAATATCGCAAAATTCAGATATTAATGAAATACTGTAATGTAGTATTTCTAGAAAACGGATACGAATATTAGATTAAAATGTGTTCGCTGGAGTTTGATGAATTCTATTTGCACTACGTCATTTTTGTTGCAACATAAAGTGAGCAAAAAACACTATAATCGAATTTCATCAAAAATAGAGATAGTTTTTGAATACATTATCTTCAATTCGTAAGCATCCAATATTTGTACGAAGATCATATGTTGAACCAGCACTTCGTAATCGATGAAGAATTTGTTTTTCCTGTTGATAGGAATGTCCAGAGTACTCCATACTTCTCAGAAATAGAAACACTCCCATTTCAAATGTTATCGAAGTCAACATATGATTGAAGAAACACAAACTCATTCTGACTATCTTATAACAATCTTATTTGAAGATACTCGAAATATTGCAATTTTTCTCTTATTAGAAAAGATCTTTTTATAAAAATCCACTTAAATCGACAATATTAAAATAATTAATCAAAAAAAAAATTCAAAATAAAATCACACAAATAAAATAATAAATAAAAATGAAAATGACTTAAAACGATCATCCATATAAAAGTCCTATTAGACATATATATATATATATAATGTAATTCTTTACAAACTTCTATTCCATTTAATTTAAAACACTGAGAATAAAAACCTTGTAAATTAAATTATATGATTCAGTGAATGACAATATTCAATTAAAATGCATGCATAATATAAATAGAGAAGAAAAAAAAAGAGAATTCAAAAATCAAATTTCTTTTTAAGTTATCCTATAAACTTTATCGAGAAGATCGTGCATTTTATATATGTCATTTAAGAAATTCAATAGTTCTTAAATTAGCAATAAAATATGCAACTGAATCACGACAATCAATATTACAATTACTTATTGTTCTTCTTAATCAACATCATCAATATCTGAAGAAATAAAATAAACTCGATTAAAAGTAGCAACCACATTCATTTAATTGAAAAGTCTAAATTGAAAAAAAAAAGCTTTGACAGATTGTAAGAATGAAATATTATTAGCAATTGAATTAAGTTCGATTTTTTTTTTAGTTTACAATTATTATTGTTTATTTCTCCAGAGTGATGTTAATAGTGAAATGATAAATAATTCATTAAATATATAAAAAAGAAAACCAACAAACGAAAAACTATTAATGAAGAACTCGAAATAAGCTATAAAAATTTCTTTCTAATTATAGTTATATGTTTTATATTCAGATGATAAAAAAAAATAATTGATAACTATTGACAGAGTCTTATGAAACAATTAAATATTCATTTCCCTTTGAAAATCCTCTATCGAAAGATTTATAAATTTAGCAGAAACAATAAATCTTACCGAAAACCATCTTCTTATTGATCTTCGTTGAGCTGAAGCTTGCCTACTTGCCGCTACATATCAATTCAACATCATGATATTAGATGAAGTCGGCTGAATAGACTCACCCTGTTATACGTACTACGTTTTCTAACTATCTATTCTACTATCAGACTGTCTACTATATGCACAATCCGATCTGCATCTTGAAGAACGAATTAGAATTATTAATATCTATACTTCAGAAAGTAAATTATGGAGATAGTTCGATAAATCATATCTCATTATTTTATCATGAAAAATATTAATGTAGTTTTAGCAAAAGATATGGATAAAGCTAAACAGTTAGTCATTTGAATGGATAGTCATCCTGATGCTTCCTGTATTCTCGATACGAATACATGGCTGCAATAGAACAGAACTATAGACTTTGTTCTGTCATTAAAAGTGGATATTATCGTCCGAACATATGAATATGTTACAAGAAATGATTACAAGACTCTACTTTGTAAACTGGCATGTAAACGACATTATAAACCGACGTAGACTGTCTTTTCTCTTTTCCTCACATGCATGTTCAACTATTGATCGAAAAAAAAAACGGAGTGATGAACATTTGATTACTTTTTGATCACTTCTCACAATCCCGATATAAGTCTTTCTTTCCACTCAAAAACGTACTTTTTTTCTTTCAAATAAAACGAAAAGACGACGTTATTCTCCTTTTGAATATTTTGTGAAAAGAAATAATGTTGCAAAATTTTAGTCAAACTCAATAATGACAAGAGTTTTCCATATTCCTCGAATAATATTAACTGACGAGGAAACTTCTTCATCTACATTTTTCCCTTCCGATTTCAATGATTTTCTTTTTTTGCTTATAGATACTACATAGTGTTCCAATAGAAACTCAAAAACGATTTGGATTCCTATCGATATTTGACTTAGCTATCAGATTTTTAATATGTCTATTTTCTAGAAGGCTCAAATTTTCAGAAAACTCATCTTTTCGAATTTCGTTCTGAAACTTTGCACATGTATAGAACTCAACTAGACTCACTTTCATAAAAAAAAATTCAGACGTTTCAAACAAAGTCTCTTTGAGATACGAAGCTTTCAAAAAACCGCATGTTGTATACCCTATCTAAGGAAAAGGATCTATATCTTGAAGAGATTTTGCTCAAAACTTTTGAATTTCTTTTTTATGAAAACTAGTTTAGTTGAGTTCTCTATATGCACAAAGATTCAGATCAAAATTCGATAGGTTAGTTCAAATCTCAATAGGAATCGAAATTCTTTTGAAGTTTTTATTAGAACACTATGTGGTATCAATGAGCAAAAAAAATCATTGAAATGGACAGAAGACAGTTGAAGAGGTTCTCTTGTGAGTTCTTGAAGTTAATTCATACATTCATTTAGTCTAAAAATCCGAAAATCATTGGTAGAAACATTTTGAAAAAATATAAATTTGTTTGCAAAGCACTACATATTTTGCATAAATTTTATGTATGTCAAATCACTCAATAAATATCTAGAATATATAATATTTCAACATTGAGACACCAGAACACTTGAAAAACTAAATCAAACTCGAACACTTATGTTTATCATGTGTAGAGATCAACGAAAAAAACCTTATCTGATTCCCTTTAAAAAAAAAACTCTCGCTATAACAAATCCTAATGATAAGAAATTGAAATCAATATTCAATATACTAACGAATAATAAATTTCAAGACTATGTGCCAATTATATCAAAATAATCCATTCGGCATAAGTTTGAAATCATATCCTTTTGTTTTTTTTTTTGTTGTTGTATATTTTAACACAACATCACTCTTGATCTTTCTCACACATTCTCATGCTATCTATTTCCTCCTTAGAAAAATAAAAAATAAAATAAGAATATTGTCGGCAATTGTTCAACATTTTTAGAAGAATAAGCATTATATTGATAAACGTAACTTCTATAAAAATAAGACAGCGGAACCGGAACAGACTTTAATTCAAAGAGATCGTATATATATATATGCGTATACGTGTGCTTAAACGAGTGTGTCATCGGTTATATTTCAATTGAAATATATATATATATATTTATTGTGTATTTGACACTGAAAGAAAGCGAGGATACTCTTTTTCTGTCTGTCTCTCTCACCTAATCGTGAATAACAGAAAAAAGTCACATACGAATGTCAATTTTTTGTTTGATTTATACGTATACAAGATCATCAACATATGTCGATAGAAGTACACAAGTGACACAGTGATTGAGATGCAAATATAATATGGATGCGCTTGCCTTAATATTACACACCATAGGGACATTGTGCATGAAGAAGTAACATTTTCATTATAGACTCATCGTAAAGACAACATTCACAAGAGAAAAAAAAAAGTAGATGCAGTTGATCCAACCATCTGGTCTCCCTTTTGATTAACTATACTCACAGTAAATCCTATTCATTGTCATCAGATCAGAGAGAAAGAAGCCGCAATCATTGAATCCTTCCTTTTTTTCTTCTTTTTGTAATGATCTGTTGACTTTCTTTTTTCGTGACACTTGTCTATTAACATAATTGACGTGAGTCTTATAGATTCATAGATTATTTATTTTTTATTTTTTATTTTGTTGACAGTATCACACAAAATATAGAGAGAGCCAAAAAAAAAAAGAAACACTGTGTAAAGTGTGTAACAAGTGAAAAAGAGAAAAAAAACTCGAAAAAAAAAAGAAAGAAAAAGAATTGTTTACAAATGTGTTGGATAATGATATTCATAATATTCTTCTCCAGTTCCAGTAGGTGTTGGTGATGTACTTGAACTTTTTATATTATGATGATGATGATTATTATTATTATTATTATTTGATGCTGATGCTGTACCATTTACTAATGGTGGTGTGACACGTTTTTCTTTTTGTCGTCGATTACAAAACCATACACGAACAACTTCTTTTTCA